GTAGAGGCTGGAAAATCCCAAGTACTTGAGTCAGACTGGAGGCTTCTCCCGACTCACGTGGCTGCAGGGGCTGACAAACCCAAGATCCAGACCACAGAGGCTGAGAATACCAAAACCGGCAGCTAAGCTGCTAGCACAAGTCCCAAGAACCAGAGGTCAGATGAATGGGAGCCACCTGCAGAATCCAGAGCAAGCAAAAGCCCATGAGCTTTGCTAGAAAGCCCACTTATATTGGATGTAGGCCACAACCCCAAGGAAACTCCTATTCAAATGACTGGCTACTCACAGCAGATCCCATCATGATCACATTTTATCAGCTCTCATCATGGAAGTGATTACATCATTATACGACTGCCAATCTAAATCATAACTGCCAAACCACTGAGAGTCATGACCCAGCAAAGTTGACACACAACCTTAACGATCACAGTTCACCCCTTATCAACTTGGCACCTATACACATATCCTTAAACCATACATAATCTCTGAATAAAGACAATTAATAAAATCATACTTATGCCTAACATGATACAACTAACATGCGTAAATGAAAACACACTAGCCTTGTTTACATCTTATATTTTATAAGTGAAGAAAAAAATACTTGATGCACAAATACAAGGAAGAAATACTCATAACAATTACAGCCCTCTTTTCTTTGACTTGTCATGTGGTCATAATTGGTATTTAGAACTAGAAACTCTGGTGGCTAGGTTGCATGGTGGTTAAGAGCTACGGCTGCTGACCAAAAGGTCAGCAGTTTGACTCCACTAGGCGCTCCTTGGAAACCCTATGGGGCAGTTCTACTCTGTCCTTTAGGATCACTATGAGTCAGAACCGACTCAACGGCAATGGGTTCTCACCCATTCTGTATTCCCTTTGCCCTCAGAAAGCACCTCAGTAGGTCATGGTTCTTTGCTTGGTAGGGTGACAAAAACCTTCATCCTGAAGGGTCTGGGCCATTAGTAGTCATGTTGGAATTGGGTTGCTGTAATTTTCCATTGACTCTAATCACAGGGCATGGTAGTACTAAGAGATGCCCTAAGGGAGCTCCTGCATTCCAGACACACTATTCTTCACCTCCATTATGCAATATCAATCTGATTTCCTCTCAGTAATCAGGATCAATCACACCAGCCAATATGGTAACTCCCTCCTTTGCCTGTTGATCCAGAGGAATAAGGAGCCCAAAGTGGCCAGGTGGCATTCTTAACTTCCAGTGCAATGCAATCAATGATATGTATACAGGTGGGAGCATTCCTCACTTTGAAACCAAGACTTCTAGACCCACAGAGCATAGGGTCATGGGGACAAAGCAAAAATTCTGTGAGTGGGTCACTAGGGGTAAAAGTGAGTGATGCCACTCCCATTTCCACCCGTTGACTCCTGGATGTGTGAATCCTGCCTATGGGAGAAACAACACCATATACTGGATGCTGGTTTAGAGCATATACAGCCTCCTGGAGAACACTGCCCCAACCCTGCAAGGTACTGTCACCTAGCTGGTGCCATTATAGTGTCCTTAGAAGGCCATTCCATCGTTCTATCAAGCCAGCTGCTTCAGGATGATGGGAAACATGGTAAAACCAGTGAATTCCATGAGCATGGACCCACTGACCCACTTTATTTGCCGTGAAAGGAGTCCCTTGATCTGAGGCAATGCTGTGTGGGATACCATGATGGTGGGTTAGGCATTCTGTAAGTCCAGGGATGGTAGTTTTGGCAGAAGTACGGCATGCAGGGAAGTCAAATCTGTATCCAGAGTGTTTATTCCAGTACGAACAAAACGCTGCCCTTTCCCTGATGGAAGCAGTCCAATGTAATGAACCTGCCACCAGGTTGCTGGCTGGTCACCTCAAGAAACGGTGCCATATGGGGGATCCAGGGTTAGTCTCTGCTGCTGGCAGATTGGGCACACAGCAGGGGCTGTAGCTAAGTCAGCTTTGGTGAGTGGAAGTCCATGTTGCTGAGCCCATGCATAACCTCCATCACTGCCACCATAGCCACTTTGTTCATGAGCCCATTGGGCAATGATAGAGTGGTTGGAGGAAGACGATGACTGGTATCCACGGAACATGTCATCCTATCCACTTGATTGTTAAAATCCTCCTCTGCTGAGGCCATCCTTTGGTGAGCATTCACATGTGACACAAATATTTTCAGTTCTTTGGCCCATTCATAGAGGTCTATCCACATACGTCTTCCCCAAACCTCCTTGTCTCCAATTTTCCAATCATTCTCCTTCCAAGGCCCTGATCATCCAGCAAAACCATGGGCCACATTCCATGAGTCTGTATACAATCACACATTTGGCCATTTCTCCTTCCAAGCAAAGTGAACAAAAAGGTGCACCGCTCGAACTTCTGCCCATTGCGGGGATTTCCCTTCACCACTGTCCTTTAGGCAAGTCCCAGAAAGGGGCTGTAGTGCTGCTGCTGTCCACTTTAGAGTGGTGCCTGCATACCACACAGAACCATCTGTAAACCAGGCACAAGTTTTCTGTTCTTCAGTGAACTGATCATAAGGAACTCCCCATGAGGCCAAGAGTCTGCACTGTGACCAAAAGGGGCCTGCCAAAGACTCCAAACAGCATTTCTATCTGCCACTGATACTTTAAGCACCATAGGATCAACTGGATTACATGGCCCAAGTGGCAGAGCCACTTGCACAGCAGCCTGAACCTGTTGCAGAGCCTTCTCTTGGTCTGGACCACACTCAAAATTAGTAGCTTTTTTAGTTATTTGATATATAGACCAGAGGAGCACACCCATATGAAGGATATGTTGCCTCTAAAATCCAAAAAGGCCCACTAGGTGCTGTGTCTCCTTTTTAGTTGTGGGACGTCCCAGATGCAACAATTTATCCTTAACTTTAGAAGGAATATCTCGACATGCCCCACACCACTGGACCCCTAAAAATTTCACTGAGGTGGAAGTCACCTGAATTTTTGTGGATTAATTTCCCACACTCTAGCACATAAATGTTTTACCATTAAGTCCAGAGTCACTGACACTTCTTCCTTACTAGGTCCAATCAACATAATGTCATCAGTATAATGGACCAACGTGATGTCTTGTGGAAGGGAAGGCAATCAAGCTCCCTGTAGACTAAATTATGACACAGGGCTGGAGAGCTGATGTAGCCCTGAGGTAGGCAAATGAAGATGTATTGCTGGCCTTGCCAGCTGAAGGCAAATTGCTTCTGGTGGTCCTTCGAAACAGGTATGGAGAAAAAGGCATCAGCCAGATCAACAGCTACATACCAGGTACCAGGAGATGTATTAATTTGCTCAAGCAAGGAAACTACATCTGGAACAGCAGCTGCAACTGGAGTCACCACCTGGTTAAGTTTTCAATAAATCCACTGTCATTCTGCAAGATCCATCTGTTTTTTGTACAGGCAAAATAGGCGAGTTGAATGGAGATGTGGTGGGAATCACCATCCCTGCATCCTTCAAGTCCTTAATGGTGGAAGTAATCTCTGCAATCCCTCCAGGCATGCGGAACTGCTTTTGGTTTACTATTTTCCAAGGTAGGGGCAGTTCTAATCGCTTCCACTTGGCTTTTCCTACCATAATAGCCCTTACTCCACGTCAGTGATCCAATGTAGAGTTTCTGCTAGTTATGCATTCTGGAACTGGGGAAATCACTACAAGATGTTTTCGGGGACCCACTGGACCTACTGTAAGATGGACATGAGCAAAGACTTCATTAATAACCTGGCCTACATATGACCCCACTCTGACCAGTGGGCCACACTGACGTTGTGGGTCTCCTAGAATTAGTGTTAGTTCAGAGCCAGTATCCAGTAATTACCGAAAAGTCTGATTATTTCCTTTTCCCCAGTGAACAGTTACTATTGTAAACAGCCATAGATCTCTTTGGGGAATGCTGGGAGAAAGACTAACAGTATAAATTTTTGGCAATGTAGTGGTGTCCTTCCTTAAAGGGACACAGTCTTCCCCTTCATTTAAGGAGTTGTGGGTGTTTAAACTCACTCTAGTCTAGGAATTGATGGACGGGCTGTGACTATTCTGGCAGTCTGAGTTAGACTGCTGTTCATTTGATCTAGAATTCTTCCATCTGTACAGATCAAGTAAATATTTAGTAGATTTTCCTATCTATTTCACTCCTAGGGACACTATGACTAAATAGCCAACACCATAAGACCATACAAGTCGGACTACTCTGATTAGTGCTTTCATTCCGCTGACCATTACAGTAACCATGCCCGCCTTGTCTTTGTTGATGGAGTGCCACCACTTGGCCCCTACCACCACAGGGTCCAATCAGCCCCATTGTAGATAGATGTCTTAATTCAGTTAGGGAAGTTCCCACTGTCAAATCTAACTTACATAAAATGGCAATCACAGCAGTCTTCAAGGATGCTGGGGCTCCCTTCACAAATTTGTTCCTCACCATTGTGGTTAAAGGTGTGTTCTCTGGGCACTCCATGTGTGGGTCTGTAGGTTTAACTTGATAAATCTACTCTAACATTCCAATTTCCCTAAGACTTTGGATACCTTCTTCTACAGTATACCAATGCAGGTCTGGCACTTCAACTTGACTTAGTGTAGGCCACTGAATAATCCACGCTTCAGTGACCCAACCAAATAAACTATTAGGTTCTTTTCCAACCTCTTGAGCTGAAATATTGAAGGAAGAATCTGTGCTTAGTGAGCCTGTATCAATAAACTCAGACTGATCCATCTTTATGTTCCTTGCACTATTATCCCACACCCTTAATAGCCATTCCCACACATATTCCCCAGGTTTCTGTTTGTACATATTAGAAAAGTTAAGCAGTTTTTTTGGAGTGTAGCATACCTCCTCCTGGGTCACACTTTGTACTTCACCTTTTGGGGCTCGGTGGGACTTAAGTCTAGTTATAGGTCTAGAATCCAAAATGTGTTTTGAGGACATTCAGCATTGTCTTGTAAGGCATCTGCCTCAGTTGATGACCCAGGCAATGACTCAAACAAAGGCTCTTCAGACACAGCTGGGATAATCTCATCAGATGGGGGTTTAGGGACTAACGGTTTCACTGGGGAGGCGGGCTTAGCAGACAAAGATGAAGTAATTTCTTCAGATGAGAATAAGAGGGCAGGGTCAGTTGAAAGGGCTGATTCAATGGAATTTAGGGACTCAGTGTCCCCAGCTTACTGATTATCTGCACATATGTCCCTATCCCAAGTTTCAAGATTCCATTTCTTCCCAATCAGTGCCCTCACTTTAACTTCAGACACCACTTGAGGTTAGGAATTCAGTTGGCCTTGTAATTCAGCCACTCTTACAATAAGACTCTGGGTTTAGTTTTCGGCAATATCAGTTCTGTTACCATAAGAGATAAGGCTTTCTTTCAAGACACAAGTGGAAACTCTGTGGTTGTTTATGCAGTGCTTGAGCTTTGACTTTGAAGCCCTGAGTTCATCTCTTTCTTTCACCACTTTGTCTAGCGAAAGTAGGATCAACCAGTTTCCTTATACTTCTCATTATGACAAATTGTAGAAAAGTATCAAACATACGATCACCCACAGCCTCACCTCTAACCAATATGGGATCTATTGGTGATGATATTTTGCATATTTCTATTGCCACCTCACACCATGGATTAGCAGTGCCCTCTTTACCACTAGAAGCAGAGTCATCGTCTTTAAGAATAACCAAACTTGAGAACAAATTGAGAAAGTTTATCTTTACATTTTTGTTTCTCTAGAACCACTCTTGGTACCAAATATCTTAGGCTGGGTTCTCTAGAGAAGCAAAACCAGAGAGAGATTTACATCAAGGAAATGGCTCGCAGGGTTGTAGAGGGTGGAAAGTCACAAGTCTGTGGGTGAGGCTGGAGGCTTCTCTGGATACACATAGCTGTGGGGGCTGGCAAACTCAAAATCCAGACCACAGAGGCTAAGAATCCCAACATCGGCAGGCAAGATGCTAGCTCAAATCCCAAGAATCAGAGGTCAGATGCGCAGGAGCCTGCTGTAGGATCCATAGCCAGCAAAAGTCTGTGAGCCTTGACAGAAAGTCCTTCCAGAATGGATGCAGGCCATACCCCAAGGAAACTCCCTTTCAACTCACTGGTGACTCACAGCAGATCCCATCATGGAGGTGATCACATTATATAAGATCTCATCTTAGAAGTGATTACATCATTATACAACTGCCAAACTACTGAGAATCATGGGCCAGCCAAATTGACAGACAACCTTAATAATTACAAAGAGTCCAAGCTGGTTGTCACAAGAGCTATAGACATTAAAGCTAGGTGTCAGAGTATAAGACCTCTGGTCTCCAGCGTATAATGCAGTGTTTGGCACATACCTGATAATCCGTGAATGCTGAAAAATGATAAAATAAAAATGTGCACTAAAGTAACTTTTTTAAAAAGTCCATGGACAACTATAAAATAGTAATATCTAGCAGCTTTTATTACTCCTGAAATGGTTAAGGCAAGTATGTGACAAGATCTGAAGTACAAGGACAAGTACGGAGTAACTAGAATCAACTATACACAGAATGGATGGAGAAAGAGTTTGGGGCCATAAGGGAAAGCTTTGCCAAGAATCCTCCATGATCTGGACTGCATCTTAAATACAGCAGGGAGTCATTAAGGCCCATTGTCCCTGATCTTGACTGAGTCATATAAGGGCATGGTCAGTGTGTGGAGACAGAGCAGGGGCACAGTGAAATAGTGCTGGCGGATCCTTCACACTGGTGAGGTGCCTGCCCTCATCTCTGCCCCGGGCTTTAGAGTAGGGCTGGGGACACAGAAGGAGGACATGCTCTCATGCTTGGTAAACACTCCCTCATGGAGAGGAAAACCTGCCGCAGAACAGAATGCTGTTGGCTGTGTTGTGCCTGATGAAGAAAAGGAAGGGGTGGTCCGCACAGAACCGGGGCCCGGCCTCCAGGCAGCACTCCACAACCACCGCGGCTGAGGCAGCTGTGGCCTCCGTGCCCTCCTCGTTGACTTCCACGAAGGACTTGTGCACAAACTTCGACAGGAACAGGTCTGTCTTGGCCGACATGGCAGAAAAGTCAGCCTTGCCCTGCTGGAAGGCATCAACTACCCCCAAATTTTGAAGCACATATTCCATGTCATAATCCTCTTCCAGGGTAAATCTTGGAAGGAGGACTTCAACTTCAGTGCTGCTCATACAATCTGGCTTGGTCCAGGCTACAAATTTCTCAAAGGTGAGATTCTTTTCCACCTGAAGACCAGAAAAAGACTTTGAGATTCATACTTCTGGGGATAGCTACATGTGTCCAAGTACACACGTACTCTCTGTCCTCTTGCAGATGGTGCCGAATGCTCAAAAAAGACCAGCGGCCCCTCTCTGCCAGGAAACTCATGCGATCAGGAATTTGCACTGCACCCCATATGCTTTACATACATAACTCATGCCAAGTAGGGAGACACCAGCAGCGGGAGGCACAACTCCTTATATCCTGACAACTGTCAATACCCAGATGACTACGCTGTTTTTTTTACATTCTTATTTTTGATGTTTTGAAAACAAACCAATTCTGGTGAGAAAAACAATTGGAAAAGAAAGGGCTCTGAATATGACCCAAATCGGGAAATCTGACTAGGAGGAGCATTCTGCCTGGTTTCTGGAGAAAAGGTGTCCCAGTCAGGGAGCTGGACAGAGTGAAAGCAAATGGGCTGCGGCTTCAGTCATACGGATGCCTTAATACATTAAGACGTCACTGCCTTTCACCCAGTTCCAGAGCCTAGAATCTGGTGGGTACACTATCTACACTTTCACCCTCATGACCCATGCTGAAACAAAAATGGGGGGCCCCATGGCAGGCTGTTCTGGCATCACCCCCAGCACTGTGCTCCACAAGTCCCTGGCCCAACCCCTCCCCTTCTGCCCCTTGTTAGGTCAAAGTGCAAGACTAGCTCATTCAGTATTTCAGGTTCTGAATAGCAATAAAGGTTCTTAGGTTTCAAAACAATAACACTAATAATAACAATTGTGATGAAAATAATAATGGATAATGTTTATAGAACGCTTACTACGTTCCAGATAATGTGCTAAGCTTGCCACCTGGATAATTACAACCCTATCTTGTAGACATTATTAATACCCCCATTTCAGAGACAAGCAAACAGAGCCTGAGGTGGTTAAATCATCTGGCAAAGTCACACAGACAATAATGGGAGAAGTAGGTCTTGCGTAAAAGTGCGAGCCCAAAGTCCACGTGCCTAAGCACTGTGCTTGGTGGCGGGGTCTGCCTGCCCACATGCCTAAGCACTGTGCTTCGTGGCAGGGTCTGCCCACATCACCAGCTCGAAAGGTGACTGCCAGAGATGGAAGCTGTGCTCAAGTCTATCCTAGTAAGAAAGGACATGAAGGGTGTCACTGGATTCTTCCAGCAGAAATTCAGAAGGGGAAGTTCCAATCACACAGTCTCACCATGCTTAGATCCACATTGTCATCGGGGAGCAGAATGACCATGCTCAGCTCTTCCCCGGCATAGGGCAGTTCCAGGACCTGGGCCTGCACCTCTTTCACATAACTGATTTTAAATGTAGCTTCCTGAAACATCATCTGCACTGGTTTTTGCTCCTTCTGTTGGGAATCAGCAGGAGAACATAGAATTAAAAACAGATCATCGAAACAGGCAATATCCACTCCTGAAAGAGCTGCAGTTGACTCAAGAGTGTTTATCACATTAACAACAGAAACAACACTCATGCTCTAACTGTTATTAGGTGCTGTCAAGTCAGCTCCAACTCACGGCGACCCTATGCACAATGGAATTGGACCATTGTGATCTACAGAGTTTTCACTGGCTGATTTTTAGAAGTAGATCACCAGGCCTTTCTTCCTAGTGCATCTTAGTCTGGAAGCTCTGCTGAAACCTGTTCAACATCACAGCAACATGCACACCTCCACTGATGGGTGGTGGCTGCGCATGAGGTGCACTGGCAGGGAATTGAACCTGGGTCTCCTACATGGAAGGCAAGAATTCTACCACTGAATCATCACTGTTTCTCCCATGCTCTAATTAATGCATAAATGTCAGCCCACTCCTTCCTGTCATCACTAAAAGGCACTGATTATGAGCAAACTCAACATTAGCCTGGGCAAGATGCTTTAGTCAGCAAACCAAAACATGATCCTGTGCATTCTCCAGAGGAGGAGGTCAGACTTTTCTCATTTAAAACATACCCAGCAAATAATATAATCAAATACAATTAAATTAAAAAATTTTCTATTTAATTAGAAAAAAGTTTTCATGATCATCACTGCTGATGAAGGTGGGGTGAAACTGACAGTTTCACACGATGCGAAGGGGGTGTAAATGGATAAGCCTTCTCAGGAAGCTGCCTGCCCGCAAGTACAAAGGGCCATACATGTTTTCATTGCATTTTAATCCAATTATTGAAATTCTGATACTCTAATCCAAGGAAATAATAAAAAATACAGAAGAGGTATATGAATGCATAAATTAATTGAAGTGTTGTATTTATTAATTTTTTAAAAATTATATAGAACATCTATTATAAAAATAAAAATATTTCCTAAAATAAATGCTATTAAGAGTTTATCCCTGTCCCCTTTAACTAGAGGGTTGATTGTTTAAAATTTTATGTATTTCTATATTTCCAGGGGCTGGGAGTTTTGGCAAACAACTTTAATGCCTGCCTCAAGTAAAGTTACACTTCACTGTCAAAACCAAGGTCTTTGTCAATTTTAATATCAGAAAGCTATGGAAACCCTGGTGGCATAGTGTTTAAGAGCTAACCAAATGGTCGGCAGTTTGAATCCACCAGCCGCTTCTTAGAAACTCTGTGGGGCAGTTCTACTCTGTCCTTTAGGGTCGCTATGAGTTAGAATTGACTCGACAGCAATAGACTTGGTTTTTTGGTTTATAAATACTGAATTAATAATGATAAAGTAATTAACAATTCAAATCGATACTTAATTTTAAAAATAGCTGATTATAGAAATGTGTTTTCACATTCCTTCTCCTCCCCTCCCCTCCCAACCCTGCCACAAACACACATGACATTAACACCTATTTTTTGCTTTCTATCTAAGCAACCTGGGCTTAAGGGAAAATCTTAAGTTTCCAGAATCAGGTGGCAGCAATGAATGTATGAGAAATTACAGGAGGCAGTAAGGAGCAGTAATCAAACACAAATATTACGGGTAGAAAATACTTCTAATTCCTTCAGTTTTTTCTACTGAGTTTGAAAATTCATTCAGAAATATCTTAAATACGATTTTTTTAGCCAGTTATTTATGCTTTTACAAAGTTAATTTTTTCCATTCAATTTCTTCATCAAACTAGCAAGATTTTGAAAGCTTCTCCCTACCTGGTTTATTTTAAATGGCATTTTCCTTGTGTATGTTTTATTGAACTCTTCATTCCACCTTCCTTTGAAGTAGACAGCACTGACAAAAATCAGCCTGGTTTGTGGATCGACTGAGTTACCTGGCAACAACTCTCGAATTTTACCTTGCAAGAAAAGTAGAGTACATTTAGTTGGTTTTATAAAAACATAAGTAAACTGTGATAAGACATATTGGTAGACACTCGATTATTAATCAAAAGCAAAACATTCTTTTTTCAGATTTGCTGAGTCTGGTTTGTTACGTACAGAAATAAAAAACAACACATACAAGTGGTATTCATCATCACCAACACTTGGGACACATCCACAAAACTGATGATAATGAAAGATTTCTAAATGACTCAAAGAGAGCAGTTTAGTAGAAAGCAGAAACACTACCCCAGGCTGGAGAACAAGACAAGCAGAAATGAGAGGTAGACTGAAAGGGCCTTGGTTATCTCCTGTGGTTAAAGAGAGTGTTTGATCCAATGCTCCAAGATTACATCTAACCCAACATGCCAGGACCACACATGGATGAGTTAGAGGCAGCCCAAATGAATGGGACGCTGGGAAACTAGCTGGTAATGGGCAGGATAGGTACAAGAGGATCTTCCAGAAGCCTCTGGAAGAGATACTACTATATGATCCTCTAAACAAAGCACCAGGCATTCCTGGAAAACGTAATGTGGGACAAGTGAAAGATAATCCCTTCTTCCCCTGGATATTAAGTTGGACCTTTTCAGTAAACTAAGAACACCCCTGAAAATTCACTGCCTCAAGAGGGCATGAGTGGTAAATATTCCACTTCCTCCTACAAGAAGAAATGGGGAAATAATTTCTAAGTCTTTAAACAAAGACCACCTCTTGTTTTTCACTGTCTCATGTATTAACAGAAATAGGAATGTTTCTCGTGGTACTAAGTATTGTTGGTGCAGAGAACGTGCATGGTTCACACATCACACCATCACTGATCTTGGGGTCAAGGTTAGAGCATGTCCCTCTCTAAAACAGAAGTGAATCAGACCCAACCCCAAATGGAGGGTATTTTCAGTCTGTAGAATTGATTAGCCCTGGGAGAGGGTTTCTAGTTTCTGTATAAACAAACTCCCCAGCCTCCCCGCAAAAAATTCATTGCCGTCAAGTCAGTTCTGACTCATGATGACCCTTTGTGCTGCAGAGTAGAACTGCACACCATAAGGTTTTCAAGGTTGTGACCTTTCAGAAGCAGATCACCAGGCATTTCCTCTGAGGCAACTCTGGGTGGTTTGAACCACCAATCTTTCAGTTAGTAGTCGAGTGCTGAGCTGTTTGCACCACCCAGGGACTCCAGTTGTCCTGTAAGCAGAGGCTTATCAAGCCTAATTAAGGAAACTTAAATGGAAGACATGAGGGACAGACAATAAGTACCATAATGAGTAAAAGGGATGGGGGTGACAGTCCACACAGAATCTAGAAAGACAAGGCCCTAAACATACAGCTCCAAAATGATGAGTAACCTGACAGTGCCAGCACTACAAGCCAAGTGAGAGGATTTTTCAGTATAAGTTGTTAAACTGAAGTCTTGCCTATGAGTAGCTTTCTTCTGAGGTTTGTATCAGTCATTCTGGTCCTGGGAGAATAGACAAAATTAAGTCTCTATTGCTGAAAAGCCAAGGATATGACCTGCGCCTTTGTAAGTCCACCAAGGTTCAAACACGCCATGAGGCCCAGTCAACATCATCCTGAACGTCGTAAACATGAGTGAAATTAGAGGAGGACGATGAGGAGAAGTGGGAGACAAACTGCAATTCTGACCTTCAGTCTTTTTTGAGACCCAAGTGTTTATGTGTTTCCTGGACCTCTCTGCAGCTTTGGCAAAGGAGAGCTGCTCCAGCTCAGCATGGTAGAACCGAAGGCAGGATTCCTTAAATGTCTGTGGAGAGAAAGGTGTTTCATGAGGCTGCCATGCTAAATAAAATGTCAGCAAGCTTCCCCAAATTCTGCATATTCCATACTTTTTATTAAAAAGAGCTTACATATCTCTTAAAAGTGGTCATATCTTAGTCTACACAATGTTAAAATATCAGCATTTATAGAAATGCTGTGTACTAAGCCATGAATAACCAGAGATAAATAATGAATTTCAGAAGTAGTCAAATTTTAAATAATTCAAGGTATAACTATAGAATTGAGAGTAAAAATTTTCTTTTTACCATATGTTTCTCAAGCTCTCTAGGATCTTTCATGCTATACCACCAGGCGTTTGAATACAACTTTTATTGTTTGATTCAACTTACTGACAGGAAATCATATGTCTCTTCTCCAAAGAGCCTGTTGGCCGTTCTGAGCAAGTACTGAGTTCCAGGTTTGTTAACTTCAGTGAGAAGCGACTGGAAACCTTGGTGAATATCTTTCTCCATGTCTAAAGAAAGAGCCTGTTGAGAAAAATAAAATTATGAGTATTGCTCTTTGCTATAAAAAAAGAGAGAAAAAAAAATTGCAAGCAAAACGTGTTCTTAAATACTCCATAAAATGTTTCTTTACAGGGAATTTGTTTTTATCTTAATTGAGGATTTAAAACATACTAAAGAAGCACTCCACGTCAGAGAGACAGAGACAGGAGAGAGCAGAAAGCAAGTGGGTAAAAGATTTGGCTGTTCTGCCTGAATAGAGCTCTCCTGTTTAAAGATGAGTAACGGGAAAAAGTAGGGGCAGTGGTGGTGCAGTGACAGAATTTTCACCTTCCATGTGGGAGACCTGAGTTCAATTCCCAGCCAATGCACCTCATGTGCAGCCACCATCTATCTGTCAGTGGAGGTTTGCATGTTGCTATGATGCCGAACAAGTTTCAGCAGAGCTTCCAGACTAAGACAGACTAGGAAGAAAGGCCTGGCAATCTACTTCCAAAACTCAGCCAGTGAAAATCCTATGGATCACAACGGTCTGATCTGGGCAACATGGGGTCTCCATGAGTTAGGGGCTGACTGAATGGCAACTAACGACAACAAAAATAGGAACAAATGAAAAGGGCAAGAGGAGTTCAGAACAGGGGCTATTATTAAATCCTGCACCCCAAGGAAAACACAAAAGTGCCCTAAATAATCAGAGGAAAACTTACCCCTAATTTTATCAGAAAGATAAGAAAGAAAAAAAAGATGCAGTTAAAGGCATTAAAGATGCAAGGAAAAATGGACAGAAATACACACTTGTAGTGGGAATCTTTACACGACATCACTTTCTGTTTCTGTCAGATTAAGCAGATAAAAGGAAATAAGGGTATAAAATGAGCAATATGATTAATATGACTAAACCACAGTTATTAAAATTATACTCTACAAAAAGAATTATATAATTTTAAAAGGTTACTTTAATATTTCTAAAAATGCATCATATGTTAGGACATAAGAAAATTCTCAATCAATCCGGAAATACAGATATTATGCAGGTTATATTCTCTGATCTCAATGTAGTAAAGCAGAAATAAGTAACATTATGAATAAAATACCAAGAATGTGGAAATGACCATTCAAAGAAACTACTGAAAATACTTTTCTAAATAAACAGCTCTTCTGAGTAAATAATTCTTCTAAATAATTATTTAAAACACTCTTTTAAATAACTATATATTAGATTATTTAGAAAATAATCAAAATAGGAAAAATATATATCAAACCAAAGGATTTGGTCAAAGATATAAGCAAAAAGACAGCATTAATTTTTTAATAATATCAAGAAATAAATTGAACAAAACTTTCAACCCAAAATGTCAGAAAAGGTACAGAAAAAAACCTAAGAACTTAGGGGAAAATATAAAGTGGTAAATGAATCCTAAAGCTGGTCCCATGGAAGAAACACACACAACAAAAGCAAACAAACACTTGGCAAAAATAAGAAAAAGTGCCAAAAAAGAAAACTGGGAAAAGAAGAGGTTGCAAAAACAGACACAGAGAAAATGTTAAAATAATATACAACTATGTATACTTATTTTCAGCAAAGTATACATTATGAATTGCCATATTAAAGTTAACAATATGTAAGGTAACCACAAAGGAATCTAACAATCCTACAAATCAAAATAAAAAAGTAGAAAAACATAAAGATCCAACAAACACAAAAACTACAGCAAAGAAAAAGATGAAAAAAAATACATAAAGAAAAACGACTCAGCACAGAAAATTGAGGAGAACAAAGAAACTGTGAACAACTCACAAAAAGAGATATCAGGATGACAGCACTAAACTCATACCTATCAATAATAACGCTGAATGTAAATGGATTTAATGCACCAATAAAAGACGGAGAGTGGCAGATTCAATAAAAAAGCATGATCCATCTATAAGCTGCCTACAAGAGATGCACCTTAGACTTGAAGACACAAACAGGCTAAAATTCAAAGGATGGAAAAAACTATATCAAGCAAACAATACTCAAAAAAGAGCAGGAGTGGTGATATTAATCTCTGACAAAATAGACTTTAAAGTAAAATCCACCACTAAGGAAAAGGAAGGGCACTATATAATGATTAAAGGGTCAATACACCAGGAGGACATAACGATAATAAATATTTACACACCCAACAACAGGGCTCCAAAATACATAAAACAAACTCTAACAGCTCTGAATAGATAGATAGACAGCTCCACAACAGTAGTAGGAGACTTCAACACGCCACTTTCGGTGAAGGACAGAACATCCACAAAGAAGCTCAACAAAGACACAGAAGAGCTAAATGCTACAATCAATCAACTTGATCTCATAGACACATACCAACACTGCACCCAACAGTAGCCAAGTATACTTTCTTTTCCAACGCACGTGGAATAGTCTCCAGAATAGACCACATTTTAGGCCACCAAGCAACCCTCAATAAAATCCAGATCATCGAACAAATACAAAGCATTTCTGTCTGATCACAATGCCATAAAAGTTGAAATCAACAACACAAAAAGCAAGGAAAAAAATCAAACACATGGAAACTGAACAACA